TAAGGTTGTAAAGCGCTGATCATTGTTGTTGAACTGGGAATCGCCTGGCGTGCTGCAGACCATGAGATGGCGAGCTGGGCGAGACACAGTGCTGAGATAGTCCCATTGAAAGGGCAAACAGATGAGGGAAATAGGATACTACGTATGGAGGTTATGATGAGTAGTCTAAATAAAGTATCTTGAAGGAGCTGGATGAACAGCTGCTGTGTTCATCGAGCTGGCAGAATCAAGCGGGTGTTGGTGGACAAAGAATAGCTTGAAGTTGAAGAGATCCGATGTTGTAATGGGGTCTTGGAGACTGAATAAAGATATGAGAGTGAAGAGGAGTGAATTCAGGACAGAGGACGTGATTATTAGAGCTAGGAGGAGAGCTCATATTTCAATGAAATAGAGAATAAGATAGAGAACACTTTATTTGCTTGACAATAGACTTACTGTTTTGCAACCATCTGAACAATTGTTGTTCCGACGGTCCGGTTTCATTAGATGTCTCTTTAATCCAATGATTGCAGCAGAATGCAGGATGGCGAGATTAGATTGAGTAATAGGAAGTAGTACTGAGGCCCCTGATGTACAGGGGGTACATGCGCATGGCAGTCAAGCCAGCCGGCCCTGGAGGTTCGGAATTGCCAATAAGTTGCCAGTACGGGGCTATCAGTTAATTACTAATTTAGCAATATATAATAAGTGGAATCACCCAATGACTATAAGCCGGACTGATGGTCTGATGGCAGCGAACCACAGCGGGTTAAGTAGCACAGGTACCTTTTACAGTACAAATACAACAATTGCATTCCTGCAGAATGTTCCATCTATTTTTCTGTTCAATTTCGTAAGATCCTAGTAGCGATAAAATGATCCCTCTAGTGGGGTGATTTGAATCGCCCCCCGTGCTAGTAGATAGTACACGTACTTGGTACTCGTAAATAGTGTGAGGTGATAAAACATTTTTCACGAAACGTATCTTCATTCGCCTTTGCATCGGATAACTATCACAAACCACTACCTAAGAGATTCTGGTAATTTTTGATTTCGGACTAGCGAAAGACCGAACAAGAAACTGAGCATGAAGTTATTTCAATTAGTTAGCGCTTTATTGTTATCCCTCGCGTGGATGCTTCCATCGGAAGCTCAACCAACTCAGGCCCCCACCGAAAGCCCAAACCCAAGCCCAAAGCCAAGCCCAAGCCCAAGCCCAAGCCCAAGTCAGGCCCCCACCGAAAGCCCAAA